CCGCTTCTGCTGCCGGGCGCACAGGTGAGGGGCGGCGGGGCCGGGACACGGGGACACCGCGGCTGGCGGGCGGCGGGCAGGGACCCACTCGGGACGAGCCAGAACAAGAACTGGCGTGTTTCCCAGTTTTTTACCCACTGCTCACCACCCTTGCCTAGAGGATGCTCGCGGGATGCTCTGTACTTAGGTAGGGACAAGCGAGCTGCTAGCATAGAATCAGAGAGTATCTGGAGTTGGAAGGGTCCCACAAGGACCGTGGAATCCGAGTCCTGGCCCAGGACAGCCCCAGTAATCCCATGTGCCTGTGTGTGATGTACAAACGCTTCTTGAACTTCCTGGGAATAGGACTATCAGCCATGTTACTGGCCACAAAGTCCAAAATCAAGCCACCCTTTGCCTGTAGTGATGTCCACGTGCTGGTTTGCATCTCAGTTTAATATCACTGGGCAATAGGAATGGGTGTGGGCAGGAAAAGAGCCTCACATGCTGTACTGTCCTACTTTGGAAAAGACACATCTCCCAAAGGAAAATGGGGAAGTTAAGTTGCTGCTCTGCCTCTCTCCACCTCCAGGACCATTTACTGTGTGTATGTGTAAAGGCACCCTTAAGCAAAGTGGAAGGAGGTATGTGCAAGTCCTGCCTAGTGTGGTTGCTACCTGCTGGTGATCAACCCATGTGCTTGCTTGCTAAGTATTGTAGAGTTATTGCAGAAAGAAGAGGTAACTGCAGCAGCTAGGAGTTGAAGAGGAGAGGGGTGCAGTGGCCTGTAAGCCAGGCTGAGGACAGTCAGCACTATAGAAGAAAAGTGATGTAAAGGCTGAATGGCAAATGAAGCAGAGGTGAGAGGCAGGGTCAGAAAAACACCCAGCAGCACAAGCCAGGGAGGCCTCAGCTTGGGTTAAGCAACTCAGCCTATTCCCTCCATGTTTGCTGATCCTTTCTGCTTGATGAGCAAATTCTTTCCCCAGAAGGAACTGAGATATATTCCTCCCTGCCCTGCCCCTCTGCACATACTAGTGCCTGCGGGTGAAAATGGTTTAGGCTCTTAGTTACCTTTCCATTCCAGGGTGTAATTTTCAGCATACCATTCTGATTAGCTAATGCCTCATACCCTATGGAGCTGCTGAAGAGTGATAAGAGACCTTGAATAGCAGCCTGCTGCTCTGCCAGGGATCACTGCAGAAGGAAGAAAGCAGAAAATTTGTCCCTGTGACCCACTTCCTATAGTATTTACTGCTATCGTTTTTTCACCTCACTGGCATCTACAGACTCTCACTTGATTTAGTTGATGTCAGAGCAGAACAAGGGCTAAGCAAAACCATTTGGAAAAGATTTCCTGTTCTGTAGGGAAGATTTCTATGGTCCTGAGTGCCATGGTTGTGCTTCTTGGAGCAAGTGAGAGAGATCTTAAGCTGAAGTCACACAACACTGGAAGGCTTTGAAAATGTGGTGGATCCAAGGGAGGTTGTGGGAAGCAAAAGGAGTAGCATAAGAGCCTGTGGTGAGGTTGCTTTGTGTTACCAGAGCAACTTTGCAGAGCTTGGTCCTTGGAGTACATCTTTGCTTGTGGCTTGGAGCTCCCATTGCAACTGCCACAAGTCATTAGTGCAGGAGACAAGTAAGGAGAGGGGGTTTTACATCCTTCTCAAAAACTCCCAGTGTCCAAAATAGCAGTGTGGAAATATTCTAGTGCTGCCCTGTGACATGGTAGATATCTGGGTTATTACAGGTTCTTCATGTCCCAACCTTGGTCTCTTCTGAGAAGGACATAACCTGGCAACCAGAAGGAAGCCAAGTTTGACTTTTGGAATATTAAATGTTTTACTGTTTGGCTGTCTTCTGGCAATGGCCTGGAATTTCCCCTAAGGAATATTAGAGCTCACTTGCATTAGTGTCTGAAATCAGTGCTGACCATGCAGTCAGGGAGGCTCCAGGAGCCTGAGAACAGCCCCTTATGAGCTCTTTCTTTGAGCTAGTTCTCAGGAGAGCACAATTCCTTTCAGGGAATTTCAGTGGAGACAGGAAGGAGCAGTGTGCACTATGACTTGCAGCCTGTTGCAAATGGGCATTTGCAAAGGGTCGCAGTTTTTGTATCCAACATCCATAAAGTGATTGGTGTTTGCTCCTGCCTAGGAGACAGAAGAAAACAGCCTCCCATGCTGTGACAGAGCTGGAGAACACCAAGGATTGCAGCCAGGCTGGGAAGCCTCTCCTGTGCCCCTCCCATCCCACAGAGGAGCTCCAGCTGTTCTGCGAGCAGTGTGACCATCCCGTGTGCCGGGATTGTGTTCTGGGCAGACACCGTCAGCACCCCTGTGACTTCAGCAGCAATGTCATCCACAGGCACGGGGACGCCCTGCGGGAGCTGCTGAAGGGCAGCCAGCAGCACATGGACACCCTGGAGGATGTGCTGAGCCAGGTCGATGAGATGGGCAGCGCCGTCCGCAGCCGCGCAGAGGCTGTGGCCGCAGAGATCTGCCTGTTTGCCAAGGGCTACGTGAAAGCAATTGAAGAGCACCGGGACCGGCTGCTGAAGCAACTGGAGGATTTGAAGGTGCAGAAGGAAAACCTGCTGCACTTGCAGAAGGCCCAGCTGCAGCAGCTGCTGCTGGACATGAGGACAGGCGTGGAGTTCACAGAGCACTTGCTGATGAGTGGCTCAGATGTGGAGATCCTCGTCAGCAAAGGGGTGGTGTCCAGCCGTCTGACAAAGCTCAACAGCATTGCTTACAGCACCCATCCCAGTGTGGATGACAGGATCCAGTTCTCCCCTCATGAGAGGGCAGGGCAGTGTTGTGGCTATGAAGTTTTTGGGGCCATTCTCAACAAAGTGGTTGATCCAGCCAGATGTACCCTGCATGGGGAAGGTAATGGGGTGCTGTACAGCAGCTGAATGGGAGTGCTCTGCTCCCTGAAGTCACCCCTCTGCTCTCTGAACCCACATGGCACTGTTGGCTCTCTTCTATCCAGGCGATGACCAGGGGCAGAGGTAGAGCCCCAGCAGAGCTTGCATTGCATGCCTGTGGGAGCTGTATTGAGCAGGGAGCCAGGCAGCTTTTCTCATCAGATGTGCAGAGCATACGGCACTGCCCTCCACAGCATCACCAACCTCAGCATGGGGCTGAGGCATGAGAAGGGCTCACTCAGGGGATGGGAATGGCACCTGCAGTAGTAGGACATGATGATTAGCAGGTGGTCCAAGCTGTTCTGCAGCATGAGCCCAGGCAGATCCCCATTGTGTCTGAGTAAGTTTTTCCTGTTACAGCTTCTGCTGAGATTGCTATGGGAGAACCTTGATGGTTTTATGAATATTTGCTCATTAAGGACTTGGAGCTAGGCCAGAAAACAGATGATGTTCAGACCATCCCACAGAGCACAGCCAGCTCTGGTCAGTAATGGTCTGTGCAGGGCAAATGAGACAGACACAGGACTTGTTCAATCCCTTCCATGCCAAACTGTAGGTCTTGAGTTCTCTGGGGCACTGTGGGGTGCTGTTCCTTCTTCCTCTGGGTTGCATGGTGCATCTTGAGGCCTTCTGGGAAGGTGCCAGCTTCCAGGCCATAGAGTGACAGGCAAAAAGACCCCTGTGGTCCATACAGATCTCTGGGCTAAACCTGCCAGACATTTCTCAGAACCTATGGCTTCCGCTCTCTCCTGATACCCATCGTATGTTGATTTTTCCCTGTGAGTGGAAGGAGCTGTAGACCCAGAAGCAAAGTCCTGGCTGTGCTCTGATGGGGCTGCAACTCTGCAAAATAGATGGGAGGTGGCAGTCATGCCTTGACTTGAATCCTTTGTAGTTCTGTTAATTTTTGGTTTGGTGGTTTTGGTTTTTTTCCCCCTCAGATTTCCACAGCGCCCGTCAGAACCAGCTGAGTGGCTTTACCCTGCTGTGCAGGGACACTACAGGGGAGCGTATGGGACGGGGAGGAGAGGCTGTGCGGGTCACCATCACCCACAAGGACAAGAGGGACTGGTGGGTATTTCACCCAAGAAATCCCTGGTCACTGGCTTAGTCTTTCTGCCTCCCTGGTCCTGGCTCCCTGCTTGCTTAGGAGGGTGGGAGGATGTGCTTCAGCATGTGGGGCAGAGCCTGTAGAGGAGAAGGCACGACTCTTTTTCCCACAGTGCTTCTGACTGGTTTGGTTTGGCTGGACAGTGATTGCTGAGATTTGTGATTAGTCTTTGAGGGATTTGGGCTTCTTAAAGGAGTCAACTCCTCGTGTGTGTTGCTAGGCACGGTCAGAGGGAGCTGTTGTTCCTTCTCACTCCTCCCGGCAGACACCTGGGGCTCCTGCTTTTGTTAACACCTAATACGTGTAAGTCATTGCAACCCCCGTATGACAGTCACAAGTCAGACAGAGAGTTCACCAATCCCACAAGCCTCTCACAGCTGATGGAAGAATTTCTCTTCATGTTCTGGAGAAAGAATCTGTGTTGTGCTTTTGTCCTTTTTCCTGTAGCTGCAAGCATTGAGTACTTTAACACATTTGAAGGCTTTCTAGCAAAACCAGGAAAGGCTGCACTTGAGCTTCTCAGTATTTCCACAAGGAAAATGACCAACCAGAAAAAGTTGCAGACCACACTTGTCACTAAAGAACAGACAGGCACAAAAGCAAACCCAGTTGTGGGTTAGTTGTTGAGAGAAATATCTACTGTTTTATAGTAGCTGGAACCAGATGCCAGCATTAATTTGTGCCAGGAACACTCATGATGGGATGACCTGATGAAAAAAAGGGACAGGATGCTAAAACCCTTTGCTATGTTGACAAAGCGCAGAGAAGCAATGCTGGCTGCACAGATGCTTATCAATAGACCATAATTGTCCAAGAATATTGTTCCAGTGTACCTTCCTTCCATAATTACACCTGTGATGTAGGAAGGTGCATGCCTGAGGGGTTTCTGGATTTTTCCTGGTGGGGTGGAGGTCGCTGTGGCCACATTAACTCCATTTCTTGCTCTTTGTATGCAGTTGCTACATGGGTTGCTGAAAGCTGCCTGGCTTTGCTTTGAGGCACAACAGCTGCAGAAGAGCACGAAGTATCACCACACAGTTCATGGCAGGAAATTATGTAGGCAGCTGTGTTGATGTGAAGTGTTGGGGGTGGGGAATACAGATTATGAACTGTCATGTCGTGGGGCCCAGGAGACTAATTAGTGGGGATTAGCAAGAACACCTTGCTCTATGCAGAGCTGCCTGATAATTGTCTGTGAAAAGCTTTTCATCTTCCTGTGGAGCAGGCAGTGTATCCTCCAGTTACCAGCTGAGGCTTTCTGTCTAGCGCTCTGTTCACCAGGGTTCCCTGTGAAACACAGTGAGCTTCAACATGAAAAGGGAGAGTTTACCAGCCTGGACCTAGGACTCCTCAGCATTGAAGGGAGGAGTTGGGGTCAGTGCTGTTGGGACAGTGGTTAAAGTGATTCAAACCTACCCTATTATATCCTGTCTTCTTAATAGGTTTTTCTGGAGGTAACTGCTTGTTGAAGCTGTGAATTTAACCCATTTCTTTGAGCTCTTATCTGATGGGATAATCTGACTTGTGCTGTGTGTCACCTTCTGTCTTTTCGTTTTGTGGGTTGCTACAAAACCTTACAGTGCAACTGGCTTTGTGTGACTTCCTTTGTATGGTAATTGCAGCTTCCAGTAGCAGGGAGGTGTGAAAGCCACTGTACTCCAGTCTAGGCCAAACTCTGGTTTACATTTGAAACGATTTTCTGCCAGTCACTGACCTCTTGGATTTCTTTCCACTGTTCACAGCACAGTCAAGCCAACAGTGTGTGATAACGGTGATGGGACCTACTATATTTCCTACAGCCCTGAGGAGCCAGGCTTGTATGCTGTCTGCATCTGTGTGAAAGGGCAACATGTGCAGGTAGCATTTCTTGTTTCTCCTGCACTGCTTCTTCTTTACCTACTCTTCTTTTCTTAGGTATTTGTTTTAAATCTGTCTAAGGATTACTTCTACCACGTAGAAGTTTAAAGCTGGGCTTAGTGATCTGTGACTCACAGGGTCATGCAGATGGTGTCTGAGAATGCAGACACATCTGACAGCACCCACTGCAGCAGCCTCTCTGTTTGCTTGTCCTCTGCAGGGCTCCCCCTTCACTCTGATGGTGAAGCACAAGTTCCGTGAGCACCAGGGGGTGTTTCACTGCTGCACATTCTGCTCCAGCGGGGGCCAGAAAGCCGCTCGCTGTGCCTGTGGTGGGACCATGCCAGGTGGGTGCTCAGCTCTCCCCACGCTGCTGGGATCCGGAGGATTTGTTGCACTAGCTCCTCCCTAGTGGCTAGAGGTGTGAGGAGATACTCTCACCCATCTCTCACCTTGGACATGCACCAGGAATGTGGTGAACTGTGTACACATGTTCTGGTGGGGTGACTGTAGCAGGGAGAAATGCAGTAGGACACACAAAGGGTCTTTGTGGCACATCCCATAGACAGAGACCTGAGCCAGCTGTGCAGAGGTGGGGCAGGGCACCTCAGCTTTTCAGCCCTTCTGGGTAAGGCTGAGCAGCATTCCACCTACAGTGGTCCTGTTCCAGTGCTGGTGTGTTGGGAGTGTGAAAAACAAGGTTCGCTTATATTTATATTTATATTTATATTTATATTTATATTTATATTTATATTTATATTTATATTTATATTTATATTTTTTAAAAGTTTAATAAAAAGACAGTCAGGAGATAAAGTAAAGTATACAGATATGGCCAGGTGTCTCTGCATTCAGCCAAGAGAGCACACCTTACTAACAAAGGGTTGTCCCTTAAAAACAGAATCCTACTACATATCCATAAATTCTCATACATATTCAGACATTCTTCTTAGGATTTTTGGTGTTCCTCTGTTTAGTTTTTCCTTACTCTCCCTTCCCAATTGATCAATCTTGTAGGCGCCACTGGGTTTTATGTCCTTCGATAACGGGTGCCATAAATTTTTCCTTTGGAGGGCTTGGAGGACTGCTTGTCTTCATCTGGACAAGATAATCTTAGGATGCAGGAGGGTCTCTGACTATTTTCTTTTTTAGTCTCTGGGTTATATAAACAAAAAAGTAGTTTGTGCTTTAATATCATGTTATAGCCTAACATATGTGTATTATACCACTGTTTCTAAGTTCCATCAATAACAACTAAAGGAAACTATATTAATACAACAAAATTTTCTAATCTTATTCATTGTAATATTTGTGAAAAGCCAATAATATGATATGCATTTATAACAGGGAGCTCGTGGGCTGTGTCACACAGTGACCAGCTCTGGAGAAGCCTCACTCCATGTTTAGGACAAGAGTTCAACTCCCTTACTTGTTTGATCCCAGCCATCTTCCATGTCCTTCACCTGCATGTGCCATTCTGTGTTTTGTGTGCTTTTAGGATAGAACTGACCTCTTCCTTTTTCTTGATCTGTGTCTTTGGCCATAGCCACAAGCACCTGGCATGGGGTTCTCGATGCTCGTGTATTGTTTTATTCAACAGCCAAGGGGATGGAAATCATCAGCTTTCCCCAGCTGTTGAGATGAGTTGCACTTTCTTTATTGGGCCCTGGCAATTTTGGCTTTGAATACGCTGTGTTCTCATCAGCACATTTTAGAGAAGTCCTGGGCCCAAAGCCTATAACACATTGGGATCTTCTGGTCCACTTTGGGTTGAGCTGCTGGTGCCTCTTCTCTTGCAGGTGGGTACCAAGGCTGTGGCCACGGACACAAAGGTCACCCTGGCTGCCACCACTGGTCGTGCTGTGGACAAGTGAAGGAGAGCTCAGAGTGTTTGTGTAGGCCACCCAGTGACACCTCACAGAGGAGTTTGCTCAGGACAGTTGCACTCTGAGCTGCCAGGTGAGCTCCTGGGAGTCCAGGGCACTGCTGCTGCCTGCTCCAGGAGCAGAATGATCCATGAGGATCCATATGATTGATTTCTGCATAGCTTTGCTGCCAGCAAACAGCATGATGGGTGTGAGTTGAGACGGGGGGGATGAGGGAAAATAAAACAGTGCCTTATGTTCCACCCAAGGGCGTGTATGCAAAGTTATTTTGTGCTCAAACAAGAGCAAGTTCTGGGAATTGTACTGTTGCCTACACTTCTGAGGACTTTTAGTCCATGGGGACATGCTCTAAGGGGAAATTCAGTCTGAGCAGTTACCTCACAGGAGGGTCAAGATGTGTCCTGTTCTGCAGGGTCAACAGCCTCTGCTGTCCTTCTTGATGAGACTGAAGCTGCTCATTGGGACACATTCCAAAGGGCTTGTGGTCATGCCTTGGAAAGGCTTGGCAACCTGAATAAGGCTTCTGCCTTCCTGTTGGATATACATCTGGATTCCAGCCTTGGATGTGTGCACATAGCAGAGTCAGGCTTCTGGGAGATGCTCTTTGCTTGCACCTCCTACACTTCCTCCAGGTAAACTGTAGTCTCATTATACCCTGCCTGCAGAGTAGGGGCAAGGTGAATTAGTAATTTATCTGCAGGAAGGCCCAGAAAACTTCGTGGCACTGATAGGAACAGGAGTTGGAGTATCATTTACTGGTCTGTATGTTTTCCATGGAAATGATGTGGGATACAGTGCTGCTGGGCGTGATGGGGCAGCCAGGAGAGTGCCCTGCTTGCCAAAGGAAGATCTGGGGCAGTTTGAGCATCACTAGGAGTCACAGACACAAGTTTGCAATTGTCTGTCCAGAACTAGAGCACAGGAGATGGAACACAGCAAAACTGGATTTGGCTTGTGCAACCTTGGCAAGGCACTTTCCAACCCATGGCTGGGGAAATGGCATCTGTGATGAGGAAGAAGAGGCACTTCCTTCAAAGAGCAATTGCCACCCTGCTGGCTGCTGCCAGCTGCTTGCCTGGGTGAAGCAGACACCCTGAATACCTTCCTTTACAAAACATTTTTGTCCTTGAGGCTGGAAACACCACTGCCCTGAGGGTAAACTTGTCAGTAGGTGTGTGTGGCTGGGAGCTCCAAATTCTGCCTGTGGAGCTGGGCACAAAGGTCCCACTGTTGGTTACTCAAGAAGAGGAATGTCACTTGCACTGTCAACAACAAGGACTGGGTCTTGCTTTCTGCATTATGACAGCTGGCTTGTAAATAGTGGAAACCTGCACTGTTTGCTCAGCCTTAGAAGTCTCTCATTTGTTGTTTGTTCCTCTTACAAAGCCAGTTTTGGAACTTCTTCCCAGATATCCTTATGCAAATGCTGTTTATAGCTTTCCATTAAGCATCCATTAATTATCCCTGTCATGAGGGAAGGCTAGGCAGTTTAAATCTCCAAGTTGCTGAGTCTGAAATTTCAAAGTGAAAGTTCAGTTTAAGTTAACCTTTAATGGAACAAACAGTAACTCATTCTCATCCTTGCTACGTATAGAGTGAACACTCAGTGCAGAATGTGATGTAAACTAAAATGCCTAAATTTTTGTGTCTTCCTAATTCTTTCCCCCCCACCCACCCCACTAGGTGCATTGTTTTTTCTCAGAGTTTCCATGCTGTCTTGCAGAGAGAACACATAAGGACAGCACTACCTTCTAGGCATATAGTTTGACTAAAAACATCTTAGTCCTCTCAGACAGAGGAATGTGTTTTTATGTTAGGTATCCCTTACACACCCTGTCTCTGACATTTTCCAAGAAGCTGTTGGTCAGAATTACACCAGTGAAATTTAACCCTTCAGGGAACTGCAGTTCTCCATTTGACATGGGCAGAGCAGTTTTTGGACAGCTTGGGTCAGGCCCTGGTATTGATTTTTTCTTTTTGTTAGACTAGAAGGTCCAGTTGGTCCCAGGGATTAGGAAGTATTGGCCAGCTACCACTGTGTGCTTGGTGTTTGTTGTGCATGAGAATATCTTGAAGAACCATCTTGATAAAAGACTCTTAATGACCTTAGTCACTTTGAGGGGGGAGGGCTGGGGGCTAGGTTGGTGTATCCTCCCATTATTTGCCAGCAGTCTTTCCCCTCAGTCTTCATAATTCAGAATATTTTGCAAATTAATACATCCTTCTGATCTGCTGGATTTTGACACTGGACACCAACAACCATTCCCAAGATGGGCTTCCAGTGCTTTGCTGGTAAACACCTGGGTCAGGGAGTGCATTAGGAAGTGTAGTTAGTCTGCTGGGCTATATGATGTTATTTCTGTCCACCTGGTCCTTGAGATAATAAAGGTGTTTTCAAGACAGACACGATTGCAGTGCTGACAGAACTGCACTGGTAGATACTGATATTTTTTTCCCCAGGACAAAAGCTCTTGATAAAATTGCCTGTCTCCAAAATTTGGGGAAAAAATGAACATGGGCAGGGACTTTGGGAGACAAGAAAAGAGGATTTACTCCCTCAGTAGGGAAAACAGTGTAGCTGGAAGAGAAACCATGAAGAACAGAGACTATGGAAAACCTGGAAGGATACCTGGAGCCTGAAAGACTCTATGTGCACTCCAGGGTGCTTCTGGAGTAAGGGTCAGGCTAAGCTATCTCTCCTTTGAGAGGCAAAGCACACCAGTGACACCACTGTGCTTGTGCCTCTGTTTCACAAGTGTCTATTTTGTCCCAGAAGATCTCAGGAGCAGATTCTGGCTCAGATGGGCTGCTTCTTTTTCCCATAGGAGAAGGTGGTTCACAGGGCTACACTGATGGGAATGCCATGTTAGGACAGATCCACACGCAGTGTGGAGGACTGTGTGTGTTCACAGCCCAGGGTGGCTGAGCACCTCCCTGTTTTGAGAGAGTTCTGAGTGCTGCTGCTTCCTGCTTCCCTTCACAGGCAGGTGAGGCTGAGGACAGATATTGCCAGTACGGCAGTGTCCAGTTCTCATCCCTCAAGATCACTAGCATTCTCATTTGTGGTGCTTCTCAAGCACCTCTTGACATCATTGGTACAGATGTGGGATCATAAGGCTGGAAAGATGTCCTACATTTTGGGTCAAACCCCAAGAAAAGCTTTCATCTGTTTGAAGCTGCTGGCTGCCTACACCTCTGTGGGATGCTCTGTCAAACTTGGCTGCTGGTCATCTTGCCACAACTCCACCTTCTCCTTCACTGATAGCTCCTGCACCATTCCAGTGACACTGAAATAAGGTGTGAACTTCCCAGCAGGGGAACTCTTCTGTAGGGTACCAGCTGCTGGGCTCAGCAAAGCTGGTAGAACTTTGTGCCTGCTGTTGCCTTCTCCTCAGTGAAGGCAGCTGATGTGTCCCAGGTGCTCACCAACTCTCAGAGACCATGTGGGACCAGATCCTGCTGTCACATTTGGCTGGATTTGCTAATAAATTCAAGATTGATAAGAGCTGTGCAGCTTGTGTAGTCACAGACCCTTGGTTTCTTTGGGAAGTGTCCTGAGCACCTCTTGGGGTTTTTCTGCAGCATGAGCTGCTCAGAAATGAACGTGGTGTTGCCCTGGGGAACGGGACTTGCCCTGGTCCTGCTGGGGCTGCCTGTGCCTGAGAAGCAGATGTGTTTTTCCAACATGGAAGTAACCTGATTGTTGACTGTGCAATGGGGTGTGCTGTGGCTGACCTGGAGTTAACTGGTGCTGAAAGGGGACACTTTGTCTGCCCACTGCACACGCTGTAAATCAGGTGTCACCACAGCCATTAACCAAGTGTCACCAAGGGCAGCGGGATATTTCTTAATGTGCATTTTCCCACTGTGGCTTAGAGCTGTTCTTAGCTTCTTGTACTGTACTGCTAAATTATGAGAGGCTTAATAACAATTGGCAGAATGCTGACAAATAATGACGATTTTTTTTTCCAGATTATCATCACTGACCAGTACTGATTGGTATTGATTTTAACCTCTGGTTATTGCAGAGAAAGTAGTTTGGTTTCTTTAGGTGCTGGACTGTTCCCAGTTCCTCTGGGTATCCTCAGCTCTGCATGGGAGGGCTGTTCACTCCCACTAACCATCCAAACTTGCTGGAGATAGCTACAAACTGTCAAAAATCCCCTTTTCCCATCCTCCCTGGAACACATTCCAGATGTAAATGCCAGGATACACAGATTCCCTTTAGGGAAACTGAACATGGTGGCACAAGCTGCCTTCCCTTTTCTACTCTTTTACAGCCTCTCTGCCTTTCTCAACCTGTTATGCCCAAGAGCTGTTCATCCTGCCCCCAGCCTCATCTGAGACCAAACCCGGAGGAAAGACCTGCAGGGTCCTGCAGGTGCCAGTTTTTTTCCTTTACATGCTCCGAAAGTGCACCACACTGTCAGACCTGAGAGCAGCAGGGGCTGGCCTCGGTGGTCTGTCCTGGAGGAGTTCAGTGGGATTAAACAGCAGTCAGAAAAGGGGCTGCTGAGAGCACGGCTGAGCTTGCAGGAGCCTCAGTGATGCACAGCACAGCCCCTCAGTGATGGGTAAGCTGCAGGTCTCCTGGGACACATGTGCACTCTAACCCCAGGATTAGATGGCTACCAAACCACAAGCTGTGGTGTTTTTTGTCTTAAATAAGACATATTTCTTAAATGGATGTGTAGAAGGTCTCTCCTGTTGCCCCAGTGTCTAACCAGGCCTCGCTGCTTATGACTGCCCTGAGGAAGGGGTGAGGAATTGAGATGCTCAGTGTTTCCTCATTCCTGAGAGTTCAGTGCTTGGGCTCACCGCTCCTTAGCTGCATTCAGTTATTTAAGCAGGACAGCTTGGGAGGATGTATCATGCAACAGGCAGGGGCTGTGCTGAGCAGTGTGGGACCTTCAGGCACCTGGTGTTTGACTTGTCTCCATAGATGCTGTGACCATGGCATCCCAAGGCCAGGTCATTTTCTGGAGGTATGGTATTATCTGCACTTGCTTTGGCAGAGGGGAGGGAGGCAATTGCATTTTTCATTCTCTTGGGATGTTTCACCCTGCTGCCAGGAGCTCTCAAGACAGCAGTTCTTTGCAGCTTGACTGTACTGCACTCACTCAGGCTACTTAAATACCAAGCAAAGCTTGTTTTATACTATTTGTAAGGCCATGTATGTATCAGACACCAATGTGCAGGTCATCAACTGTAGTCAAGATGGAGATGCATGTCCTAGAACTCTGCATTTGCTAGAATTTGTTATCCTAGGGTTGAATGTTGTGGTAGATTGGGATAGCAATGCTTGAGGAAGGGTGTATTTCTGCTGTTGTATTTTGGGGGTTCAATGGCCTGAGGAGGGCACCCTACTTCTGCTGGTTCTCAGACAGTTGCTTTTGTTTCTATCGCATCAGCTTGCTGTAGGGAGAAAGAAACTGTCCTCCAGAAGTTTTCTTTCAGGAGTAAGAGCTGGGAAAACATTCCCAAAGTGTTTTGTGCCTCTCATTTCAATGACCCCATTTCCTTTGGAGCTGTTGACCAAGTGCTGGTGAACTACAGTTAGAAAAAGAAGTCATAAAAATATGTACCTTGTACCTTTATCTCCTGATTAGTTGAAAATAACCCCCACCAGGTGGATAAAATGGCAAATTTTTCATCCTTTAGTGAATATGGACTGAACTCTTATCTAAACCTCACTGCTTGAACAGAGACAGCAACATGCCATGTCTTTCCATCCCAGGTATGGACTTTCCAGGCTGGATGGAGACAGAGGTTCCAGTGGTGTGTGAGACAGTCCTGGTGGCATTTATTCTGTGAAAAGGTTTCAGCTGTTACCATTATCTGTCCCACCAGAGTGGAACAGCAGTGGGGAGAAGGACAGGCCACGTGTGAACAGAAGAGACCTCACACATGAGCTGTGTCGCATGGAGCATCAAGGAAGAACTAAATAGCAATATTATCTGCACCTTTTCACTGCCAGGAGTGAGGTTGCCTGTAGACACAATGTCAGAGTGTAAACATTCTCTGGGCGCTGTGTTCCTCATGTGTTTGGAATGCACGCAATAACCAGCTCTGTTATTCTCAGCCAGCCTTTGTCAGGGAAATTAAATTACTGACGGGTGTGAAAAAATGCACATCTATCCCCTTGCTGCTCTGAAAACCTTCCTCCTGCTCTGCCAGTGCCTCTGCCTGCCTTGCCAGGCAGCAGGTTACTGGGAGAAGGAGGCTTCCTTCAGGGATGTTCAAGCTAATCCTGAAATACAGAAACAGACCAGAGAGAGGGGTGAATTTTCCAGGAAGTTTCAGAGAAGCAGTGGGAGATTTCTGCTGATTTCAGGTTAAAAAAAACAACCAAGGAAACATAACAAAAAAAATCCCCAACAAAAACAACAAAACCCCCTGAAGTGCTGAAGAAAGTTGGGTTCTGCAATCAACAGCTGTATATTGGAATAGAAACCCTGTTGGTTTGGGTTACCACTGCCATTTCTTTTCCACAGTAAACTTTGATATAAGGAGGAAGACAAGGGACCTTCAATATCTTAATCTTCCTCTAATTTGACCCTTTAAGCCCATTCCTGAGGGAAAGCATAGTCCAAGTGGAACTAGAGATCTGGAGGTTTAGAACTGTTGCCTGTCACAACCAGGCTGTGAGCCTCTCCCTGTCCCCAGGCTGTGGGTTGGCAGCATTCAGGCAGGGAATGAACGGATTAATTTAATGCCAAATTTGATTCTAGTTTGATTCCAAGTTTGGCTGGTGAGGAACAGGACTATGGAAAATAGGGTAGGAGGTAGAGAGCAGCATCCCACAGGCTGCCAAATCAGCACTGGGAACTGAGGGTGGTGTCAGGGCTCCGACTGGTGCAGCCTCAGCCACCTACATCAGTCTGTTTCTGTGCCTTTGAAACACTGGAGGTACCGGGGTGCTGATGCACAGAAAATTGCTTTTTGCTTGAAGTGGACTACTGCAAGACACAGCTACCACCAACATGTGGCTAGGATGCCAGGTTCCTCTCATTCACTCTGCACTCCAGATCTACTTGTTACACACGGTGGGCACACAGCAAATATTTGTAAGGATCTTGTGATTCCTGGATCTTGCCGTTTCTGCAGAGGAAACTCTGGAGGGACTAATTTCTCCTTGTCCCTTACAAGGGATGTTGAAGTAGGCAGTGGCATCTGTATACTCAAAATTGCCGTTCCCCCTATGACAAATGAGCAGCTTTTTCAATCAGCCCTGCTGGTGCTCTAGCAAAGTTTTGCAGCCATGGGGGCAGGTGGCACCAGCACAGGACCAAAAACATTGGTGTGGCCTGTTTGTGCTGGTTTGTGTTTGTGAATAAGGTGTGGATGGTTTTGGACAGAAGAGTGTGAGGGCAGAGGTGGTGTTCAGGCCAGAGGGTCCTTTCAAGGACCAGAGGCAAGTGTGGTGGCACTTGAAGCATTCAGGGACTGCATAGGAGGACATCCTGGCTGCTTGTCCCCGTGCCGTACCTCCTAGCATTTATTGTAACCCTCTGGCAGCATCCCTCGGCTCTGAGCACTTTCTTCCCTGCCTCTCCTTGGGAAGAAGAATTGTATGATATTGCAATAAAGGTGAGTCACAATTGTGTGAGAGCACCATGTGGCTGCTTCTTGCTTTGTGCTTCCCAGGTGTGGGAGCTGAGGCTTGTCATGACAACCTTGGCTGAGTTTATAGCAGCTATCTTGCTCTGGGATCAACTCCCAGAGTGGAAATTGGTAAAGCTCCTTAAGGAGATGGATGTCATTCAACATACACGAGACACTTGGCATCTTTCCCAGAACAGGAAAGCACAGGCTGTCCCACGGTGAGCCTGGCTGGGACCTGGAGTGACTCGGGTTGAGTCCCGTGGGGCATGCCAGGGCTTTGCTGGAAGCTGTCACACTGCAGGATCCACAGGAGCCATCGAAGTCCCCATCCTGCAGGCCCTCAGGGGAGGCAGTGGCTGGGTCCCCAGATACCTGGTGTCCATGGCTGGATGATATCCATGGCTTTTCTGCCAGCCAAATGTGACATCTCCCAGCTCTGGGGGCATCTAGTCAGACCTTGGTGTGGATGTGAATGTGTATATGGATTTGTACAAACCCTTATCTGGACATACCACATACTTCGGTGAAATAGAGTTCTGATCCCTTCTGAGCACGTGCAAGCAGGGTTTCCTCAGACAACTTCCCACTGGCTTTAAGGATGAGAGTGCAAGGGAGACAGTGGGAGGGCAAACAAGTCTGTAACATCTCCCTTTTTCTCTATTCCCTCTTTCAACCTACCTTCCCTTTCTCCCTTCCCTGCTGTTCCCTTCGGGAGAGGCTTGTTCACACGGTGCAATTTTCTTGAGTTCCTTATCAGCCCTGTGATCGTGGCATCTGTGGAAATTGAGCAAGTCACAGATGCAGGCACACATCAGTGGTGGGAGGAGTCCATGGCTGCAGGGACACTGATGGACTCTCCTGCGGGAGGCTGCCCAGTGTGTTGGCAAAGTGTGCTGCAAACCAGCAAATGCTGCTGAAACAGAGCAGCTGGTTTCGTGTGGGCAGAAGGGCTGTGACCTCTCACAGCCTGCAGCTCTCTTGGCTTCTCCTCTGTGAGGAGTCTCTGTGAGACGGCTGGGCATGAGCTCCAGGATGGACCTGTGGGTTTTGTGGGGAGCTGCCTCAGGGCTTGCTCTGTCTGGGAGCTGAGTTTGCTGCCACAACCCCTCAGGCCGCAGGAAAATGTGCTTGTGACCACATGACAGCTCCACTGGCTGTCGTGGGAGTCCATACCCAGCCAAGCTTCTGGGTCTGTCCAAGCTGGGCTGTGCCAGAGAGGCTGTGCTTGGCAAGGCTGGAGCTGTGCTGATCCATGACACGCTGCTTTTCTTTTCCTCCACCTGTGTGGCTTGGCATGTGGTCCTCTCCTCCTCAGTCTCTCATTCAACATTACCCATCTCCACATGGAGCATCCCAAATTCCAACCACGTCAAAAAAAATGGCCCTGTTTCCAGACCCCTCCTGCACATGTACATGGTGTCTCCTGGGGTCAGGGGCCTCTCTGCTTTGCTCACTCCTTGGTCACTCACAAGCTCCAGCAGGGACTGCCTGACTTGCTTATGCACCAGGGAATGCAGAGAGAAGCATCCTGCACTGAGAGCTGCCTGCTCTCAAAGGCAAAGCCTGCATCCCCTGCCATATGGGTCCCCCACTGTTGATGACAGGTGCTGCTCACCTGAATGTTCATCACTCTTGTGGTCATGTGCTTCACCCATCTACCTCATTCTGGGTCTGTGGCTCACCTGCCTCCACCTCCTTCCTGCAGACAACTCTGCAGATGGACGGTACAGGCATGGGCTGTGAAGGAGGTGGGCTCTGAGCTAATGCCCTTTCCTTTTTCCCCAATAGCATGACTACAGTCATTGTCATCCTGGCTGCAGTGATCACCCTGATCATTGGTTTTGGTGTCTCAGGTATGTGACTGCTCAGATTTCTTGCAGTTTCTGGTGGGGTGATGAACTTCTGCCCTGCCTCTACCTCTGTGTGTCCACCCCCTGCACAGGCTGAGGTGTGATCATGTGTGGAAGTGCCTCATCTTTAAAACCCTTTAACAAAGGCTAGGCAGGTGTAGTGCAGCCTGTGCTGCTGGAGGTGTTGTCATGTGTCAGCTGAAATTTCCTTGGGTTTGGAGCCCCAAACCTACACATAAAGTCCTGCACATACTCTGCTCCTTCTCCCAGACGGGATGAGATGATGGGATGGTATTTATTATGAAATCAGAGAGCATCTGCCAGGATAGGACACCTTTCCCAGGTCTCTCAGAGACAACAAAAATGTGCTGCTTTGGTGTTGGCCAAAATACAGTTTCCTTGGAATGTGCTGAGTTAGGATGGGTAGGGAAGGGCTGCATGGGAAAGAGGGCCTGGCTCTTGGAATTTCCAGGCTCACAGCTTAGGATTTAAGATGCTGACTTTTCTTAAATGAAAGAAAAATATTTGGATTTCAGTAAGGGGGAAAGAGCTGCTATTTCTCTGCCTTCCAATCACGCTTTTGTTGCATAAAGGAAGGTCCTGACTAAGAAAAGACAAAAATCATGCTTCTCTGGCAGCTGCAAAGAGAAAAATCCCTGATACATATAAGTAAACAAGAAAATACCACATAAATTCTTCTCAAACATGTAAGAAGAGCTACTTTTTGAAGCACTCTTTTGCTAATTAAATACCCCTGTGCTTTATCTTGGCATGCAGTCCACAGGAGCTGGCCCCTACTAGCAGCACTGGTAGCTGCCATCGGTGGCCTTGCCGTGTGCCAGTGCCTGTTCAGCCTCAGGCTTGGTCCACGACAGCTACAGGACAGTCTGGCCTTTCTCCAGGATTGCTGCCTTACCTTTCTCCAGCCTCCTTGCTCTCTCCTTGCAGGAAAACACTCCATCAGTGTGACGGCACTGACGTCTCCAGGGAACATTGGCCAGCGCAGCATCCTGGGCTGCACTTTTGAGCCTGACATCCGGATGGACAGCATAGCAATCCAGTGGGCCAAGGAGGGAATAGCTGGGCTGGTTCATGAGTTTAAGGGTGGGAAGGACCACCTGCAAGAACAAGATCCGTCATTTCAGGGCCGCACGGCCGTGTTTGTAGACCAGGTGATCGGTGGGAATGCTTCCCTGGAGCTGAGGGATGTGCAGCTCTCCGATGCTGGCACCTACCAGTGCTCTGTCACCACAGCCAGAGGGAGTGGGGAAGCAGTGCTGCAGTACAGGACAGGAGGTGAGGGCTACAAGGAACAAAATCCTGCTGCAAAACATGTGCTCATGTGCCTTGGTTGAACCTGCCTGCACTTATGATGTTGCTGCACCTCTGAGTAGGGTATTTTTCTGGCTTTTCCAAGGATATTTATGGCCTTACTCCATCTTCTGACGTGCTTATTCCAGAAAAGGTTATAATCTTGATAACACAGTAGTTTTTTCTCTCTAGAATTAGGATATATCTCTAGCCAGAAGTGCTGCATATTAAAAATTGTAGCATATTTAATGTATTTTTCTCAGTTTTTCTGAAGTTTCAGTTTTTAAAAAATTACTACCAAAGCAACAAACCTCTGATATCATAGTTATCTGAAATGTTACATATTTTACAAGAGACAGTCATCCAGGAGAGATCTGGAAACCACCACGTCTTCAGCCTCTTCCAGTGAGATGAATTTGGCTGTAATAACAAGTCACCTCCCAAGCAGTCACCTCATGTTGAGACTGATGGATGAACCCTTTGAGGGTCTCCTCCAGACTGCAGTCTCTCTCTCATCCCTGAGGCCAGAACTGCAGCCCTACAGTTCAAACTGGGTGAGGAAAAGTCCTCAGAACTCTCCAAGTCAAAGAGGGTTTTGGATTGCAAATGTCCCCTATCCCTCCTTGAAGCCCTATGGATCTGCCTGCTTTTGTGTTTCTTGGTTGGATGTTTAAAGTAATCCACACAGAAGGGCATTAGAAAGAAAATGTGAAATGGTGTAATGGGTTTTATTTCCAACGTAGTAATACCTGTTCTGTGTGGAAAGACAGACATGCTCCTTTAAGCTGATTTCCTTTAGCTCATCCTTTCACCAGTTCACCACCAGATCCTACCACCCAAAGCCAAAGCTGATGAATACTGAAGGCAGCTGTCCTGTGCTTTGGCTGTGTACAGCCCTCCTTATTCCAGGTCTGCAGGGGATTGCTCAGGATGAGAAAATGGTCTCAAGTTGCACCAGGGGAAGTTTAGATTTAATATTAACAAAAATTTGCTCAGGGAAAGGGTTATCAAGCCCTGGAACAGGCTGTCCAGGGAAGTAGTGGAATCACCTACTATCCCATGAGATTTAAAATACGTGCATTTATGGTATAGTGGTGGACTTAATGCTGGGTTAACAGTTAGATTTTATTTTAAAGTTCTCTTCCAACCTTAATAAATCTGCAGCTCTGTGAAGCTGTAGGTGTTGGTCAGGCCCCCTTCTCAGTGAGTGAAGAGGGTGAATCATCTTTCTCTCATTAATAAAAACTAAAAACCACTAAAGCTGCCACAACCTCAGCAGATACTGTCAAGCTGTATTGCTATGTTTAGATCCCTTGTAGTCATCCTCCCATGGCCCAACCTGTACAGAGCTCTGTCTGAGCCTGTTTTTGGCGTGGCTACGGGCAATGCTGTGCTGCTAAGCAGCAAGCAGCCTAGAAATACCTGTGACTGGTGGATGCAGTGGGGTATTTCATGCCCAGTTCCTATCACTTGCCTTGTTTTGACCCTCTCCATTTTCCCTCCCAAAGCCTTCAGCATGCCCATGGTGCAGGTGGAGAACAGCAGCCATGGGGACACGCTGCAGTGTGAAGCCCCGCGCTGGTTCCCCTGCCCTGCCGTGCGCTGGACGGCCTACGGTGATACTGGGGAGCGCCTGCCCCACACTGCCAGCACCAGATACGAGCTGAACCCTGGAAACATCACTGTGAGGGTGGTTTCCCTCCTGCACAGCGTCACTGCTAATGCCACCTACACCTGTGTGATTGAAAACAGCATTGCCAAGGCTATGGGCAGCATCACAGTGACAGGTAGGGTTCAACACCACCCAGAGATGACAGGCATGGGGGAGAGGAGAGTTTCAGCAGTGTTCCTGGTGCACCAGGGGGTTCCTGCAGCAGCTGTATCAGTCAAGGACGGGTCTGAAACATGGCTATTCCAGCCACTTCCCTCTGTCCCTGCAATGAAGGAAAGGGAATGAGTTTGCTCCTGCTATCTTATATGCTTCTCATGGTATTGTAAGCTTGGCATGGGGACAGAACTGCCAGGGGACCAGAAAGAGAGACACACTTCAAAGGAGTGTATTGCTTGGAATGTTAACCAAAACCAAACCAACCAACCAAAACCCACATCTTTTGACACTTTCTTTAACCAGTTCAGCTTAGATCCCATTCGTGTACCAAACCAACAGGCCCATCAGCGGTTATTGATGACAATATCTCTGACTCTAGCCCAATCTCTTGATTTAAAAGGCCATTTTACTCACAGAAAATCAAACTTTCCAAAGGTCCTGAGTATCTTCTCCTGTTCTACATGAGAAGGGCCATAATGCTTCTACAGCCAGGACTTCATTTGGTCTCCAGTACAAGAGGCAGGGTCTATCTTCATCCATATTCAGAAAAACGAGAAGGAATAAATGCACAATTTATTTGCCTTCCCTGCTGTGTTCCTGCTCTGGTAGCCTCTCACTATTCTTCTGCTACAGATTTCAGCATTACAAAGGTGACTAACCTGCAGCTGGTGAGCCTGAATGCAGAGTCAGTGTCATCCTCCTTTCCAGCCTGTCACTGGATGCTTCTGCTTCCCTTGTACCTGCTGTCATTATAAAGCCAATATAAAGCAATTGGAAACTCTGCTGGACCCGCAGGTAAGCTTGGGAAGAGAAACTCATATACGTACAATAGACATAGATCCTCTTAGGGACCTTGGCTACAGCAGCAGACCTATCTCAAGCCTGCCAGAATTGGAGAACGTGTCTTTCCCCTCTGCCCCTCCTTTCCCCATCCCCACCTTTAGGTGGGACACATGGCTTGTCCCTCCCACAGGCTTCTCCCATCACTTTCTGCAACAACAGAGATCCTTCTCTTATACCAGCAGCTGTCAGCTCTTACTTGTCCCCTCATCCTCTTTCCTTGCACCCTCTGAACCTGGGCTGCAGTTTATGGCTGCAAGGGCTTCCTCTCTCTGCTCACAAGACCTGCTACAGTACAAGCCTTGCTTGCTTCCACTTTACTCACACAGCTCCACAGTACAGTGTGCTGTCTCCAGTAAATAGTACAGACACCTAGCTCCCACGGCTAGAGGGATCTAGCCTGAGCAATCCCCTGCAGACCTGGAATAATGAGGGCTGTACACAGCCAAAGCACAGGACAGCTGCCTTCAGTATTCATCAACTTTGGCTTTAGGTGGCAGGACCTGGAGGTGAACTGGTGAAAGGATGAGCTAAAGAGAACCAGCTAAAAGGAACATGTCTGTCTTTCCACACAGAATGGGTATTACAGCTACATTGATGGCAGGATTCATTTCAGGCTTTCCTCCCTCTGGGGCTGAGGACTTTAGGAGTTCCTGCCAGTTCCAGAGTACACAGTAGCACAAACATGAAATTAGCTGATTTTTCTTGTGTTATTTCTTACCCACATCAACAACAGGATACTTTGTCTGGCTTCACAAAGAGAACAAGGAATGCAATAAGGAAAATTGCATAAAGGAAAAGTTCTGATTGCAGGCCAAGATGTGTTCCCTTGTCTGATCTAACAGAGTGACCAGAACGCTGATCATGGGCGGAAGTTCAGATGCAAACAGGAAAAGGGTTTCCCGCAATACAGCTGAGAACAGCTCATTCAGAGTACTTAAAGCAAGCAATTCTTAACTCCCCCCAAACAGATTTGATTCACCCATCTCTTGGCTTGTGATTCCCTGACTGTACTAATAAAACTGTAAATAAGAGGTCCAGTTAATCTCTTCCATCTTCTTGGAATGCTAAAATCAAACTCCCCTTCTGAAAAAGATGAGGATGGCAGAACAGTGATGGGTAAGAAAACTGCCAGCAACCAGGAATATCGTGGCAAAGACAAACCATGTCTAAAGTCCTGTATGACAAGTGATGATTGCATTTGTAATGTGAAATAAAAGAGGAACAGATAAGTAGACACCAGACAGAAAACTAACATACAGTATGAGGAGGAAAAGGAGACTAGTAAGATTCAAATTCAGAAGAAAAGTTATTAAACCCAGATATAACAATAAAGCCGAATTTTCTTTTTGCTTTTTAAGTAAGTGCTATCTGGCACTTCCTATCTATTTCTGTCTGTTACTGTGTTATTAATATTACAGGAGTACTTTCAGTTGCACTTCTTAACCACATTTTGATCTTTGTCTTATCACTTATGGTCAACATTTTCCTCAGTCTGAGATAGATTTTGGGGACTTTTTTTTGTTTTATTTTCTTTTCTTTCTGGAGGGTGGAGAGTAAGCTTTAGTAAAATCTTTTCTATTTTGCAGAAAGCACCAAAGAAAATAAGGCTGTCACAGCAATATTTGCAGAGACTTCTGCATTAAGCTATTTTAGCAACCTTTTAAGATGACTGAATGGTGGCATCTATCAGGTCTTGTGCCACTCACACTTAGGTCTCAGAAGTGGACAGCAGGCTTTGAGAGGAAAGATATTTCACTCATACTCAATAAACCCACTGCCTGTATCACAGCTCAGTGCCTGCCTTTTCTTCCCAGCCCCACTTCATGTTCAGGCTGCTGTTTATAAACTGCAAAACAATGCCCAAATAATTGTGTCATTTGGTATCATGATTTAGTCTCCAAACAGCAGCTTACTCACTTCTCTTCTTGAAGGAGGAGCTGTAAAAGTGTAATTTCAATAATTTCACTTAGGTTAAGAAGACCATACCCTGTGGGAACTGGATAGTTTTGTTAATGGTCACCATATAGCAATTAAACCTGAATACTGAAACAGATACTAAAACAGATACAGAGCTCTTTAAGTAATATTTTCATAGCTTTATTTAGTAGATACTACCACACAAAATGCACACACTGTGTGCCCCAGGCCCAAGAGCTGTCACATAGAAAGCAGTGAACATCTCTCTTCCAAAATGTAGCCCAGTATCACTGGTTGACAATGGCCTAGAGTGACCATTCAGGAATTCCACAAGTCACAGCAGCTGCTTGCCTGCCTGCTTCACCCTGTGCTCACAGGCTCATGCTCCTACTGGAAAGGAGATTAAAAAAGCTCCCGATCCCAGTAGATTTCCATAATTCCTCGCCCACTGGGAGAGATATTAAGCAGTGCCTCCCACTCAGCAGGAACTGGATGTCCTGCTCTTCCTCTGGCTGTTCAGGTAGTGTAAGGCATCTTGTCCCACTTCCTCCACCTTCAGGCACAGCAGGCTCGAACGAGGCCCCACTTGTGACACAAACTCCACTTCACCACAGTGAAAATTCCGCAGTTGCAGGGGAGCTGCAGGGGAAAGATACAATGGGAACCAACTCAGTACAGGGCTCTGGCTCTGCTCTAGCCCACAGCTGCAGAAGCTGCTGGGGGAGGGAAATTCTTGCAGCAGATGCTTGGCATCTGCTAAACATCAAAGGACAGCATGACGAACGATTCCAGGATATAGGCAGATGAATGTATTTTTCAGTATCCCTCCAAACTTAGAGGAAACAGACTTTCTACACTGTGAAACACTGAGAACTATGTGCTCACAGAGCTGATGCACTGAATTTTGTGAAACACTGAGAACTATGTGCTCACAGAGCTGATGCACTGAATTTTGTATCCTCTATCAGTATCAGCAACCTGCCTTTATGGACAGCATACATGACAGCCAGAAACAGTCTCCACTGCAGAGCGTCCTCTGGTGAGCTTAGCAAATCAACCCCTGTAGCACCTGCACTCAAACTTAAGCTCTAGGTATGTGTGCAAACAGCCAGAAGAACTGGTGTGAAGGATGTCCCCTTAACACAGCAACTGCACAGCTGTTGCAGCATGAGCTTGGACCTCAGCATTCATGAATTCAAAACACTTCAGTGTTCATTTCCAGGTGAGGATTTCCAAGCCTACTATTGACCTTACATGCTGTCCCATCTAAAGTCAAAAGCCATGTGATTTGAGAGGTCTGCACAATAACTCTGAGTTATTGTATTACTTCTGTCCCAGAAAAGGAATGGGAATCTTTCTCAAGAACAGTTTTATGTTTCTGTGTGAAATAGAGAAACGAATGCATATGGTTCTAGTGATTTCTGTCATATTTTTTCTCTACTTTCGTAGCCATGGATCTACTAAGACACAACTTAGTTCTACACTACAGAAATCAAAATTCCAGGAAAATCCTTCAAAGATCTTGCTTTGTGGGCAGTGAAGGCACCTCTCCTCCCGCAGCCTGGTGAGATGCCTCCTCCCCTCCTTCCCACACTAAATATTAGAAAAGCCACCAGTACTTGCTTACCAGGCTGCAGGATCTTGGAGGGCTTTCTGTCTAGGCTGAAATCCAACAGGATAGGGCGACATATGAGAGGACTCCTGCAGAGACTCCTTAGGTAACAAGCAACAAGATCCTCGGGTTCCTCTAGACACTGAGGAAGGAAAGAGTGAGTTGCCAGAGAGTGTTCAGAGGGAGGCTCTGGAACACCCAGAGCAAAGGGAAATCCTGAACAGCAGAGACTTGAGCCCAGCAGACTGCAACTACTGCTGGAATAACCCACTCACCCCTGTTCCAGGAGCCTCGCCGTGCTGAATGCACACGCTGCCCCTGCTCCACACACAGCTCTGCACAGCTTCCCACTCAAGAAGGCTCAGGCCCAGCACTGCTGCCACATGTTCATTCCTGCACAGCACCAGTGCTTCACCTGTTCCATCCTCCACCAGCACCCTGTACAGAGAGCAAGTGGACTGGGATCAGAGCGGGGGCAGGACAATGCCTGGCTCCCTCACAAAGGTCACACCCCAGACAACAGCTCTCAGTAAAGTTTGTTCACATCTCAGATGTGGTAACTCCATCTTTGCTATTCTCTCCACATCCCATCCTTGATATGATATTCCCCCTCTTGTTTGTGGTGTAATTTGTTCCCTCCTCCCCACCTCTTCTTATACCAAATCCCTACAGCACTTACCGTGCACTGGCTTGCCTCACTCCTGTTTGTGATGGACATGGAGGATTGTGTCGGGTGCACCTCCCCTGAAGAAAGAACAAAGCTACAGCTATGTATGGGTGCTGTAAGTGAGAGAGTGAAAGGCCACTGCTTATTTTAACCCTTCCCTAATTAAATATGCAAAGGTATAAAGAATTTCATTGCATTTCCAATGAGTGTCCTGGGAAGAGTTTACATGGGGAGAAAAATCATCTACTGCAAGGTACTGATTCCCAATAGCAGTGAACATGGGAAGAGCAGAGCGTTAACGGAGTAGGATTGTCCTCTTCAGTGTCCTCACTTCACCCCCAGTCCTAGCTGCCACCCTGCCTGGCATCAGATCTTCTAATACTTCTAATCAGTTATCACTTTGGTCCCTTTCTAATATCCAAGTCCTTCTCAGACACTGGAAAGAGTGTTAACAATTGAGATAGGAACTCTCATTTCTTCTACATAGTAGCAAAGGATATGTTAGAGTAAAAAAATCTGCAAGACCTCTCACAAATTATGTTTGTGGAAGCTTGAATACCTCTTTGAAGATGCAGCTGCAAAGTGAGCAAATCCACTGCAGGCACACAGTCAGTACACAGGACAAGTGGCATAAAATCCGGGCCTGGGCAAGGTTTTTCAGCTGAGGTCTCAAGTTGGACAGAAACACTAATGAGGGGGATGAGGCTTTTCCTGCAGGACTAGAAGAAATAGGAATTTGAGAAGTTCAGAACACAGAAGCCTTTTTTGGGACACTGTAACACGAGAACAGACTCAACACTTACCTAGAAGGAAAAGGTAGGTGAGAAGCTGGCAGAGATACAATGCTCACGCAGCTGGCGGCAATGTATATGCAATAAACATTATGGAATCTGCAATATGAAAGAGTAGACGTCAGAAAGAGCTCACAGAAACCAAGCACTCAAGTTTTCTTGGGATGGCTGGGCTGATCTTCATTTATAACATTGCAGGAAAATAATTTATGGTAAGGGATTGGGAGACATGGAGGTTTGGACAAGTAATGAGGAAAGTCCACATGGGAGGTCAGATTAAGAGATGGTTTCAGAGACAGTAAGAGAGATCAGAGCTCTAAAGACAGGAGCACCTTGAGATCTTGCGTTCCAAGTTCTGGAAGAGGATCTTGGCTCCAGGTAGC